CTTGGAGGCAAGGATTCTGAGGCTCCGTCTAACATACTTTGGACATGTTGTGAGGAGAGACCGGTCCTTGGAGAAGGACGTCATGCTTGGGAGGGTAGAGGGATAGCGCAGGAGGGGAAGGCCCTCTATGAGGTGGGTTGATTCAGTGACTGGGATAATTGGGATGGGAGTGTCAGAGACGGTGCGATTGGCACAGGACAGAGCCGAGTTTAAGGCTGTTGTACATAGGGTCACTATGAGTCGAAGGCACATAACAAGAATAACAACAACAGACAAAAGTAAATACAGGGAAGTGAGGCTGGTTGTTTATCCTGTCATTGTAAGCAAACAATGGCCTCAAGGGACGTAGAGATGATAAGGAAGTCACAGGACCGGATTCATAAGGTTGCTATAGGTCTTAGCTTGATAGCACCTAACAACAATGAAGTAAGTGCCAAATAGATTGATGAGTGACGAACTATAAAAGCTCTGACCGCTGGAGAAGTGGCAGAGCAGTCTTAGATCTAACTGCCTTCCCCATCTGTTATAGAAACTCTGTACGGATGAGGAACCCATCTTTGTTTTAACTAGTGCGACTTGCACAAAGGACTCCTTGTTTGTCTCGGTACAATATCACTGCTGTGAAGTGCCTGTGAGTTGACTACTACTCACAGTGACCCTATAAACAATGGATCTGAACCCTGCCCTACCCTCTGCCATCCTTATCACCTCAGATATGCTTGAGCCCACCAGGTACAAAAGGACCTTCTAAACTTGTAACAAGGACAACCCTTTCAAGGAATGAGAAAGGAAAATTTTTAACTGTTTCAATCTTTAACTGGGTTACTGCTAAGTTTGCACTGAATCTCTTATTTCCCCATTTCCTTTCCCTCTTTACACTGTTGTTATTATGGTTATTACGCGCCATCCAGTCGACTCATAGCAACCCTATGTACAATAGGCCTGAATGCTGTTCTATCCTGTGCCAACTTACTGTGTCTGACACACCTACCCTTATTACCCGTCACTGAATCAATCCATCTCATCTATGGTCTTCCTCTGTCTTCCCCTCCACCCTTCCAAGCATGATCATTTCCCTCTCTTAAGGATTGGTCCCTCCTTGCAACATGCCTAAAGTGTGTCAGACAAAGCATCAGAATCTTTGCCTCCAAGGCTTCACTCTCTCTAGGACGAACCTGTTTGTTCTCCTGGCAGTCCATGGTATGTATATTCAATACTCTTCTCCAGCACCACAGTTCAAAGGCATCAGTTCTCCATAATTCCTAGCCATCGTCCAGCTCTCTGATGCATAGCAAGCAATTGTGAAGACTATGGCCTGGACCAGGTGCATCTTAATCTCCAGACTGACACTGTTGCTCTTCAGTACTCTGGAGAGGTCTCTGACAGCCAACTTTCCCCAGTGCAGTTCATCTCTTGATTTCCTGGCTGCTGGTACCAAGAGTGTTGATTGTGGAGCCAAGCAAACTAAAGCTCTTAACAATCTCAGTCTCTTCACCATCTATCATGATGCTGCCAATGAACCCAGTGATGAGAATCTTTGTTTTTTTTGATGTTGAGCTTTAATCCATATTGAAGGCTGCAGTCCTTGACCTTCTGTAGCAAGTGCTTCAGGTCCCCAGGAGCCACTCTATAGTTAATAAAAATTATAAAAAGGTAGTTTATTCCAGCATACCATAGAAAAGAAAAAGGATAGATACAGAGTGGGAGAATAGGATAGCCAGCAACCCAGCTAAACCCCAAAACTCCTCCATGTTATGTTTTATAGAAAGAATATACAAAGTTACACTATTGAAGTTCCCTTTGCATCAAGGTGACAAAAAAATAAAAAGGTGGGGAGTGTCCATACATTTGGTTTTCTGGTTTCTTAGGTAAATGAAGTTTGTTGTTGCCGTTGAGTTGTTGGTTGGTGTGTATGTGTATGTTTGTACCATTGAATCAGATCCAACTGGCATAGGAGGAGATTGCCCCTCCTCTAGCAGAACATCTATTTATTGGATTTGAATCTCACACCTTCAGGATTGCAGCACAGCTTCTTGCCATTAGGCCACCAGAGCTCCCTTATAAATGAACTTTTGATATGAGTAGCAGCCTCAAGTCTTCATCAGTTCAGAGACCAAGATATTAACATAGCACAGAAAGGGGACATGGAAAATAGATTTTACAGAAGAGGACAGAATGATGTGAGTTCTGGAGGCCTAATGGCAAGAAGCTGCACTGCAATCCCGAACACACATGATTTGAGTCCACCAGCTGCTCCCTGGGAGAAGGATGAGCAGTTCCCTCCCGTGTGATTTACTGCCTCTGAAAACCCTCTGGAGAATCAGATATGGGTCAGTTCTAATTCAACAGCAACAATAGCAACCTTGTATCACCAATTATTATAAATTTTTTTAGAAAGGGACAGAGAATCAGATGAATCTAGTACAGGTTGATAAGGGCAAAGAAATATAAATGAAGCAGACCACAAGCTACAAATTGTTTGTATGGGCTACCTTGCTTTTAAGATGTTAATGCTATATGTGCATAATAAAGGAGCTTTGTTAGTTGTTGTTATGTGCCACTGAGTGGAGTCGCCTATGACTCATAGCAACCATATGTGCAACAGCCCTACACTTTGCTCTATCCTGTGCCAATCTGTCTCTGACACACCTACCCCCAGTACCCCAGTCACTGAATCAATCCATCTCACCAAAGGTCTTCCTCTCCTGCACGGTCCCTCCACCCTCCCAAACATAACGTCTCTCTCCAAGGACTGGTCCCTCCTTGCAACATGCCCAAAGTATGTCAGATAAAGCTTCAGAATCCTTGCCTCCAAGGAGCAGCCTGATTTCACCCTCTCCAAGTCGAACCTGTTAGTTCTCTTAGCAGTCCATGGTATATTCAACACTCTTCGCCAGCACCACAGCTCAAAGGCATCAATTCTTTTTCAATCTTTGCTAGTCATTTTCCAGCTCTCTGACGCACAGCACGTAATTACGAAGACTATGGCCTGGATCAGGCACATCTTGAAAAGTGAAATTTGGTGAAAGAGCCTGGTGTAAGTAGAAATTTAGCTCCTTGCCTTTGGTAAAAAGTTCAACCAACAATTTAAAAAGTCAGTTTGCAGCCTTTAGGAGAGGAGGGAAAGTCTTCTCACTTGGCCCTCAGAGTTACACACCCCTTCCCAAAAGTTCTGATATTCACATTTGTTTTGGCTTCTGATAAGAGGCGGCCTCATGGTGGACGATCTAACCATTTTGGTTTCCCATTTCTTTACCTGTCTTTTCCTTTTTATACAGCATTTTCTTTTTCTTTTTTACCTCCGCTGTCTATGGTTTCCCCCTACACACATCCACACACAAGGTTTTAGCCCAGGGCCAGATTCAAGACCACAGTCATTCCTATGCTCTGCTTGTTTCCCTCCAGAGAAGCATACCTGGTGATGGGTTGCATTTATGTACAAAATAATCTACATAGGGGATTAAAAAATGATTCATAATATTGACTGTCCACCTTTATGAAGACTCAAGTTCACAGAAATGTCAACAACGACGATTAAAAGTGTCTGATGCCAATTCTACTCTGCCTTAGAGAGACTGAACACACGTTTAAAGCTAAATTCATCAACGGGCAAGCCCCCTGTTAGCCCCACCCCTCGCAGGGCTCAGCGTTCTTGCTATTGGTCCCCGTCCGCATCCGGTTGCCATGGAGACCAAGGCTATGGTAACCGGGAGAAGCCAAACTTACTTGTGCGCGCTGTCGGCCCGCGGAGGGGTCCCAGTGTTGGGCGGGATCCTGGAAGCCGCTGATGGCGCTCTATGAGCTCTTTTCCCACCCCGCCGAGCGCCGCTACCGCGCGGGGCTCTGCTCCAAGGCCGCGCTGTTTGTGCTGGTGGCCGCCGCGCTCACGTACATCCCGCCGCTGCTCGTGGCCTTCCGGAGCCACGGTGAGCCGGCCCCCCGGAGCGGTGCGCCGCGTGGCCCCGGCGCCGGCCGGCCGCCCTGACCCCCTGCCCTCTTCACCTCAGGGTTCTGGCTGAAGCGGAGCAGTTACGAGGAGCAGCCGACCGTGCGCTTCCTGCACCAGGTGCTGCTCGTGGTGCTGCTGGGGCCCGAGCGTGGCGGGCACCTGGCCTGGAGCACGTTCCCGGCCTTCAACCAGCTGCAGGGGGAGCATCTGCGCATCCCGCTCGTCTCGGTGCGTGCTCCCCGCCGCGACCCTGCGGCGCTCCGGGACCGGAGGGAGGTGCGGGTGCGGGTAGCCCGGCCCCCGCGGAGTAGAGTCATGTCCCGGGAGGAACCCAGGCTCGTGGGTCCGAGTTCAGGTTTCATTTCTCGGGGAGTTAGAGCCATTATCTTCTCTAAGATGTCCTGGACCTCTCTAAAGTTAGTCTTTGCTGTTAGAGAAGTTGGGGCCAGAACCCGGGGAACACTCTGCATTTGGGCAACTCCGGAGGCCTGGTCTGAGCAGTATTTTGTGCAAGTGGAATTGCACAGCACAACCCTGAAAGATCTGCACCTGGGAAAAGCAAGGCGTGATTGGTTACGTGATTGCCCCGGGACGGTGCTGAGGACCTAGTCCAAGCTTCCTAAACTTGTCTCCTTGGACAAGCACATTCCGCAGGAAATACACATTAAAAGGTTTGTGGCATGGTACGCCGGAGCCCTGGTGGCGCAGTGGGTTAAGCATTGCCCGGCTACCAGAAACGTCCGCCTTTGGGACCCACCGACCGTCTCCCGGGGAGAAAGATGAGGACAGCTTTTATGAACATTGCAGCCTTTTGCAACCTCAGAAGCCCTGTGGGCCAGTTCAACTTTGTCCTGCAGGGTCACTGTCGGTGGAAAAGGATTTGATGCTAGTGGCCTTGGTGTTGCTTAATGTAGAACAGAGGCACCCTGGAGGCACAGTGGTTAAAGCTCTGAGTTGTCAGTAATTCAGACTCACCCGCACTGCTTGAAAAAGATGAAGCAGTCTGCTTCTGGAAAGATTACAGCTTTGGAAAACCTCTGGGCTGCTTTTATTCTTATAGGGTCACTAGAAGTTCTGGTGAAGTCGTGCATAGTGTGTTGGTTGCTAACGAAAAAGTGGCAGTTGGAATCAACTAACTGGCTCTGGGGTGAAAGATGGGCAGTCTCCTTCAGCATCAAAAACTAGATGGAGGACAGTTATAAAACCTTACGCAGGAGGTCTTTCTCCATCTCACTACTTCCAGAGAAATGACCCATTTCACTCTCTGGGATGCATCTTTTCTAATGAAACTTTCTTTGCTTTCACCATTAAAAAAAATTTTTTTTTGAGGTCACTTGGGAGCCCTAGGAGTGCAGTAGTTAAAGATTTCACCTGTTAAACAGATGCAGCCTTGCATGTACCCACCAAGTTGGGCCAAGAAATCTTGAGGAGTTGCCTGATAAACTGGAAAAGATCCATATTTGTTCCCATTTCCAAGAAAGATAATCCAAGATCCAATAGAATGTAGAAATTATTGAATAATAGCATTAATATCACATGCAAACAAAAGCTTGCTGAATATTATCCCAAAACAGCTAGAATTGTACATTAACAGAGAACTGCCAGAAATAGCTGGATTTAGAAAAGGCCATGGCTGATATCAGATGGCTCTTGGCTGAAATCAGAGAAAACCAGAAGAATGTCTGTTTGTTTTTTAACAACCACACACAAACATTTGACAGTGTGGATCACAACAAATGATGGCTAACATTGAGAAGAATAGAAATCCCAGAAGTTTTGCTTATCCTTGGAGACGAGGATTCTGAGGCTCCGTCTAACATACTTTGGACATGTTGTAAGGAGACACTGGTCCTTGGAGAGGGACATCAGGCTTGGGAGGGTGGAGGGACAGCGCAGGAGGGGAAGACCCTCTATGAGGTAGAGTCAGTGACTGGGGTAATCGGGATGGGTGTATGAGAGACGACGGATGGTGCGATTGGCACAGGACAGAGCAGAGTTTAGGGCTTGTTTGTACGTAGGGTTGCTATGAGTCGCAAGCGACTCGATGGCACATAACAACAACAACAATATACCTGGACCACTGCATGATGCACAGTCAAGAAAGGAGCGTATCAGGCATGTATTCTTTCTCCATGCCTTTCAACCTATGTGTTGAACAGATTATTTGAGAAGTGGGACTTTATGAGAAGATGTGGCATCAGGATCAAAGGAAGACTTATCAACAACTTGTTAGGCGCTTAATAGAATCTTGCTAAGTAAGAGTGAAGAGGACTTAGTGTTCGTAGCACGAGATCAAGGACTACAGTCTTCAGTAGAGATTGTGTCTCAACACCAGGAAAACAAAAATCCTCACCAACAGGCCTATAGGCAGCATCATAATAGATGGAGAAAGGATTGAAGTTATTAATAATTTGATCTTTCTGGGATCCACAAATAGCACTCTTGGCGCCAGCAGTCAGGAAATCTAAAGACGGGTGGCATTGAGAAAATCTGCCATCGAGGCCCTTTCCAGAGTTATAAAGAGCAATGATATCAGTGTAAAGACTAAGGTGTGTCTTATCCAAGCCATGGTCTCAGTTGCCTTCTATGCATCTGAAAGCTGGACAGTGACTAACAATGACAGCAGAAGAACTGTTGCCTTTGAGTTGAACATATACCATAAATTGCCAAGAGAACAAACAGGTCTGTCCTGGAAAAAGTGAAACCAGGATGCTCCTTGCAAACAAGGATGATGAAATTCCATATCACATACTTTGAGCATGTTGTTAGCAGGGGCCGGTGCTTGGAGAAAGACATCATGCTTGGAAGGGTAGAAGGTCAGTGCAAGAGAGGAAGGCCCTTGACAAGATGGATTGACACAGTGACTGTGGCAACGGGTTCAAGTGTATTGGAGATGGTGAGGTTGGCTCAGGATAGGGCAAGGTTCAGAACAGTTGTTCATAGGGTTGCTATGAATCGTGGTCGACTCAATGGCATGTAACAACAACCAGAAGGTTGGTGGTTCAAATCCACTCCTATTCCACAAGACAAAAATGAAGCAATCTACTTCCTAAAGGGTCACAGCCTTGACAGTGCTGTGGCCAGATTCCTTGGCAGTGGCTGTGGTTTGGTGATCTAGTGTCACTATGAATTGGAATTGGCTGGGCTTGAAGGCGTTGGTTTTGAAATGTGATATGGTAATCTCAATCTTACAGTGAGGTCTATTAGGATTTGACAGCTTGCCCTTAAAGTCGTTTGTGACAGAAGTCAAATATCTTAGTTTTTTCATTATCATTGCCTTTATTATTCAATATCTTTATGAAACAGATTTTTCTTTAACTTTGGGACTGGCATAAGAATGATAACCCCAGTTAGTTATACACTGCAACAACATTGCAGTGTATATTATTTACAGACTAGATTTCCCCAATGCCACGTGTCTTGATGTCTTGACTGCTGCTACCATGGTTTGCTGGTATCCTTGACAACTCTGATCATGTGACATATTGCCTGTTTTTATTCTTTTTTGAGGTTATCATGCCTCAGGAGGAAGATGACTGAGGCTGAGCTGTCGATGATGAGGTAGATTGCATGTTATATTCCATGAGCATATTTCTTTGCCAAAAGAGAAGCAGGTTTTAATTTTATTTCAAGCGTATAGAATATTAACATGTTAGTTTTATTATAATATTTGATTTCTTATTTTTTTTTTTACATTTGTTCGCTCAGAGTCCCTGGGGTACCGATGGTTAATATCAATCTTTGGACTCCATATGGAGGCGCCAGAGAAGATAGTTAGGAATCCACTCCTCTGTGTATTCTAGAAACTCAGAACTAGATCCTCTTCTGGTTCTTTTTGTCTGAGAAATAGTCATAAAGGCTTATATGCAGCACTAGGCTTTGTTCATTTTGGTTTTTTACTTGTATATTGGCCACTCACTGTCCACGAATGTTTGGTTTTCTGGTTGGGCTCCTGGTTAACCTCTTATCTCCGTCACCAGAAGCCACCCCGAGAACACTGGCACCTCCCTGCGCCTGGTGTATGTGGCTTCCCATTTTCAGTTGATAGAGACACTCATTGCCGTCACTTTAGAATGGACTCAGAGACCCTCCCTTGGGCTGCTGGGTCTGTAGTTGCGTGGTCGGAGACAGCTCACCTTTCTGTCTTGGAGGTGCTGATGGATTTGAACTGACAGGTCAGCAGTGCAACTCCCTACACACCATGCTAGGAGACCCCCTCTGTAGAGACAACACTCTTGTTTTTGTGATACCTAGAACCACTAATTCTCTCCAACACTGAGTAATTTTGTTCTAGGCCATTGTCTACTAGTAATTTATGACCTCACAGTCTGTACAGTCCATCTCAATAAATAAATTGCTTCCTTACTAATAGCTCGTTAGGGAGCTCTGGTGGCCTGGTGGCAAGAAGCTGCGCTGCAATTCTGAAGACACCTGGTTCAAATCCAACAGATGCTCCTCTGGAGAAGGAGGGGCAACCTTCTTCTGTGCCAGTCAGATCTGATTCAACAATACATAACAATTACAAAACAAACAAACAAAAAAAACCCTCACTAATTAATAGCTTTGGTGCAGGAATAGCTTAAAATCATGAGATTAAATCAACAACAAAACCAAAACACACATTGGAAGATATAATGGAATTAAAGACCTCAACAACAGCAATTGAAAAGCTAAAATAGGAATCAAACAAGAAAGGTGCAACATTTATATGCAGGTTGCTGAGAGACTAACAAAATAAGAACAAATAATAATTCATGACAGGAGAGTTATCTGAGGAAGAGGGGCAGGAGGATAGGAGGGCAGCAATACAGTCCATTTCTTCTGCACCTTTCCAGAAATATCTGTATCCCTTTTAATATTTGTACAAGGAAATGTAGTACGTAGTCATTATTTCTGTGGTGGGTTTTTTTTTACTTTGTGGTGATTTTAGGGTGTATTTATAGCACAAATTGGAGCCGTTTCTAGCCGTTCAGACACTTTGATCTCCCTGTATCCCCACAGTGCAACAGCGCACTTCCCATCCTCCCTGTGCTGCCCATTTTCACTCTGCCTTCTTTCCTGTCCCCTTCTGCTTCTGAGCTTTTGCTGTGGCCTAGTTTCCCCTTTTTGAATTTGCATCATTACTTGTTCTAAGCATTGCTTATTTCTGGTATTGTTACTCAGAAGGCCTACCCTTGGCTTAGCTAAAAGTCAAGCCTCAAGTGTGAGCTCACTTCCAGGCCTGACTC